AGTTTCATTTAAAAAAACTTTATGAGTTTAGAAAACAGATAAAAACTAATTGTTATGACAATGTAATGATAATATGCATTAAATATTCAGGGATGTATTATATTGTTGCATCAAAAGAAGAGGGGCAAAGTTCCCCGCTTCATTGAGCAATGTTTAATAATCAGCTTCAGATCTTACACTTCTACATGTATCATAAATTCAATTAAAGAAGTACACTATTTTTATTTTGTTTATCTTTCCATTCACATTTAACTGCCTTTTGATTTAACCATGGTCTTTCTATGCCATGCCTGTGCATTTCAAACTTAAATAACATTAATGTGAATAAAATATTTGTGTTTTATCTTATTAATTGTTTTCAGCTCTTAAGCCCCGAGGGGTTTTCTTGATGTTTTTGCTCGAAATACTATGCYGAAATGTAACTGAGTGTATCTCAGCATTTACAAACTCTACTTAAATAATGACAATTAATGGCAATATGTGATGATTTTAATCTTGTCTAAATGAAAAAAGTTTAAAGCTTATTTGAAACCTGATTGAAAGGTTTGGTGCTGTTTGCGCTCGTGTCTTTGTTCGTGTAGGAGAGAAGGTTGCTTGCATGTTCCAAACTGGTTTTTCTGCACATAGATGATGTGAGTTGAACAGGTTTTCTATCAGGAAGTTTATAAYCCCCCTTTTCCCTCCTCTTGTTTCACCAAAACTTTAGTTTCACCCATGTGTTGTATTCAACATTCAAGCAGGAATTTGATTAGTTTCAGACGGTTACAAAAATAAAAGCAAACATATTTCACATCTAATCTWCGTAAAAGTCAAAGATCTGTGAGATTTACTTTTTAATTTTCATTTACTTTATTAGTCATGTTCTATAATAATCTCTTCAAAAGTAAAATTACAAGGAAGGGTAAAAGCTGATGTCACTGCCACTGCTCGACTCCTCCCATTTCTTTCCCCAGTAGAGAAGGTGTGTCACTTCTACACCTGCTCAGATGCTCAGAGGCAGCCGCGCAGGTGACAAAAAAGAAAGGTGGAGGACTAGAGAGAGACGAGACTGAGTGAGAGGGCTGAGGTGAAGTCAGAAACACAAATCGTGGCAGGACAAAGACAGATGAAAACAAGCTGTGAACAAATGACGCTCAGCTGAACTTAAACAACTAAAGRATACAGGAAGAAGGACGAAGAACTGAAACTGTTAGAGCTCCGCGTTCCCGCAAAACATCCAATCAGCATCGCAAATATATTGAGAAAATGATATCTGCAGAAATGCAGCTTTATGCTGAGAAGGACTGACAACAAGATGCTCCCAGAAAGATTCAGGAGAGGATTCAGAGTGAACTACACTGAAGTCCAAAGACGCTCCACAGACACAAAAACAGAACCATCTACAAGTCGTTGAGGCTTCCTCTGCAGCTTCAAACATCTTCCACCATGGCTTCGATGGGAATGCAGATGTTGGCCGGCGTCCTGTGCCTCCTGGGCTGGGCAGGGGTCATCCTCTCCTGCATCCTACCCATGTGGAGGGTAACCGCCTTYGTGGGCACATCTATCGTGACCGCACAGGTAGTCTGGGAGGGCATCTGGATGAACTGCGTTACCCAAAGCACGGGACATTTGCAGTGTAAACCRTACGAGTCCATGCTTGAGCTCAGCTCTGACCTGCAGGCGGCCAGAGGTCTCATGGTCCTCTCCATAGCTACAGGCGGCATAGGCCTCATCCTGGCTTTTTTTGGAGGAAAGTGCACTCGATTCTTGGAGGAAGAARGAAGCGGGGCAAAAGGCAAAATGGCCTTATCAGCAGGTGCAGTGTTAACGGCCACAGGGCTGCTCTGTTTGATTCCCACAATGTGGTCAGCCGGGGCGGTGGTTAAAACTTTCTACAGCTCCGCCACTGATACCGAGCGGAGGGAGCTCGGCGCCTGTCTCTACATTGGCTGGTTGGCGTCCATTTTGCTTGTATTTGGAGGAGGTTTGTTCTTGAAATCATCGTGCCCGCTCAAAGCCCACGACACTGACAAGCCCTCCTCCGTTCGCTACGTGGCGGTCCCTCCCTCCAACGGGTCGACCAGGGCAGGTTCTTATCACAGCAGGGTGACGTCTACGAGGAGGGTCAAATCCCCCAAACTTCAAAGCTTCGAGGGTGCGACCACAAAGCCTCAGCTGTATGCGAGACCTCTGTCAGACAGGCCTTCTGTGCAGAACTCCAGAGAGGGATCCAGAAAATCCAGGGCTTCATCGACAAAGTCTCAGCTGAAAAGAGGCGAGTCACTGCTGTCCGACCACAGTGAGGCACTGTCAACAAAGTCTCAGCTGAAACGAGCTGAAGAGCTGAAAGAGACTCTAACAACCAGCAGTGAAAAGGATGATGCATCTTCAAACCCCAACAAAACCTACCTGTAATGTGAGCAACTAAATATTTTATTGTAATTTATAAGTTCATTGTTTTAGATAAACCACAGTGTCTTTTTTGAAAGACATTCAAGATGATAGGTTCGTATTTTAAATGTAATTAAACTGACTTAAAAATAAGGAACAAACAAAGCCAGTTGTTTTTCTTTTATCATTTAATCAGACKTCTTTAAACTGTTGACTTTATACCATACAGTGTCAGGTTACACTCAAAAGAGCTGTTTTTATTATTATTTTTGCTTAAATGCATTGAATAATGGCAAATGTTAAGTTTTACCTTTGACTTTTTAGGTTTGTGTCTCTGCCGAGGACGCARTAACTGGAATAATTTATGTTTAATGAAGGAAGATGAAACAGATTTAAACTGGTGAATTTTCTTTATTTTGGTAAAGGATTCAATTCAGTTTATTTATATGGCATCAAGTCACAACAAACCTCTCAGGGCACTGTACACAAATATATATATATA